GGAAACACGGTATGTGCCCTGGGACACGCATGCTTCCCTCCCGAATCCCTGTTCTATTGAGCTTGCCTTTACAGTCAGCAGATCTGCAGTAACACTATCTCCTGGCAGCCACCCTCTCTGCCTCTCATCCTGGAGAGTTTTCATAGGGGAAGTGAGCTGGGGAGACGGTGTCTTGCTGACTCATTGCTTTCCTCCCGCAGCTGAAGATGGGTTCAACCCAGCTGACGTCGACTTGAAGTGCAAAGAGCGAGTGACGGACAGCGATAGCGAAGGATCCTTAGGGGATGAACCTGACACCAAGGTGCGTGAGGGGCAAGATTCAGGCTTAGCGCAGAAGCTTTTAAGTGCACCGATAAGTACAGAAATCCGTCCCAGCTCCTACCCACCGGGCAGTTTTGAAAGCAGGCAAATGCAAGTAGATAAATGGGTACCATGCAAATAGATAAATGGGTACCAAATGGGAAAATAAGAGGGACTTGAAAGGAGCCCTCTCGGATTTCCCGGGGGCAACGGTGATGTCACTGGCTAATCCTTTCAACCCGGAAGCGCATTGGGAGATGCGCCCCACATGAACATAGTAGTAATAGTACAGTAGCAGCAGCAGCAGTAGTAATAGTAAAACAGAAATGGGGAGGGGTCACAACTCAGGGGCATGAAAAGGCCATTCTGACTAGGGAGTTCTATTTGAGCCTCTCTCTGTTTGGGAACATATCACCTTATATTAACCCACGTGTCCTTCTCGTGCATCTGATAGATTGAAGCGGGAGAAAGTCTTGCCCCCAATTCATCTCGGTAGCACTAGCGCTTAGACTTATATACCACTTCACAGGGCTTCGCTGCCCTCTCTAAGCGGTTTACCAAGTCAGCCTATGTCCCCCAGTAATCTGGGTCCTCCTTTTACCGACCTCAGAAGGATGGAAGGCTGAGTCAAATTGAGCCAGTCAGAATCGAACTGCCGGCAGTCGGCAGAATTAGCTTGCAATACTCCATTCTAACCACTGGGCCGTGATGAGACTGGGACCTGATCAGTTTCAAAGCTGGTCTTTGTCAGGCAGAACATCATGGAAAGGATTTTCCCTGTTTTTAAGAGCGTTCCCCTTTGCTTGTAGGACTTTGGACGGAAGCTCTTCGCCCCGGTGATCCGGTCAGCAGCCCTGCCTCCTTCTTCTGCCGCCTTCGCCCCATGTCGCCCACCCCCTCCTCTGGACTTGGAGCCACCCCCACCGCCCCCCCCCCCCCCCCCCCCCCCCCCCCCCCCC